TTTTTTTTTTTTTTGCTGTTGCTGGTTCTGCAGCAATTTATTGCGCGCAATAAAAAACTGTTCAATTAGATTTAAAGCCAATTTAGGTTTTTTTTTTATAAAGAATCTTTCTGAAATTTTTTTCACGACTGGAGCTTTTAAAGATAAAGATAGCTAAAAAAAAAAAAGGAGATATATTTGTCCTAAATAGGATGTTTTGGCTCAGCTTCAGAATGTAAGGGGTGTCGAAATCTGTCTGACTGCCAGCGATTTCTAGCTCGCTAAGATTTGAGAAGTAAAGAGATTTATGAACTGCGAAGGGAGAAAGTTGAAGCAAACAGCTACTGTAAATCGGATAAAGATTATCTATAGTAGAAAACGAGATAGAGGTCTGTCTAGTATCTAACAGTGTTGAAAAGAGTGTAACTCTGACAAAAAAGAGTGGGTTAGAAAAACCATATAGACACTTGCTGTACTAAATTCCCTCAAGTCTGAGAATTAAGAAGTAGAGCAAGTTAGATAAAAGGTTTTTAACAAAAAAATTATCACCAAAACTGCCGTTAGAACAAACCTATCCGTTCAGCTTCTTGGCAGTTAGGGCATTCACAGTTGGATCGACCATTTGGAAATTTGCCGCCTCCAATCTGCGGTAGGTTTGCCGTGGAAGATGTTAACGGTTTCTGGAGAATAGCATCTGCTGATGCACTATTAGCAGCTACAACAACTGGTGTTGGAACTGTTGCAGATAGAAGTCCTTGAAACTGGGCCGGTAAATACGGCGCATAGGGAGAATCAGATGTAACATTGGTTGAATATGTTAGAGGCCAAGTTGTTGAAGCTTCTGGCCACCATGGAGTTGCTGCAGTGGTTCCCCAAGCATAAGAAGGGTATGCAGTAGCTGCTGTATAAGGCATTGTTTCAACCAGTTGAGGAGTGTTTAACGAGTACTCCGTTTTTGGCTCTTTCTTAATCACTTTTTCTTCACACGAACGCCCTTCGGATGTTAATCGGTTATACTGCTCCATCAGTTTCCCCAACGGGCTTTGTTCAGCACTCTGAAATTACATTTTAAAATTGCGATACAGAAACGAAAGAGAACGTTATATATTTCCATCCTGAATTTAGCAAAGGTAAGGCTTCTTGGAAGTCTATCTGAACGGTGTGCAAATAGTGCATATGAAAAAATTTTTTTTGCTAAAGATGTCAGGTCGTCTGAAATAATGAAGTTTCCGAATTGTTTAAAAGCCGGTAAATTGCTAAAACAAAGCGTTGAAATTAATTAGCACTAACCGTTTCACTAATAAAAGGTATAAATTTTACTAGCTATTCATTAAAGGAATACGTAGCGCTTAAAAGACAAAATTACTAGTTTCATAACTGAAAATTAAAAACAAAAAGGTTTGTTTTTCATTCTAACCTGAAGTTGCACAGCCATCTGATATTTGCTCGTTTTCGATAATTTTGAAGTTGCTTCAGCACAGATATCACCGTTCCTAACGTCTTTCGGCATCCAAATTTCCAAAATTACAATCAGTGGTCCCACCTCTGCGCACTGTACGCAACTGCACTTGGCTCCACCCTTTAACCAATCCAATTCAGGCGCTGCATCTACCGTTAGCTCCGCCTTTTCCGTTCAACTACAGTACTCCAAGTACCAATCGTTGTCAGCGAGTGTGAGGCGTCAGTCTGACGTTACAGAGAGCTATTTACGTTGCTTTCTCAATTTTTTTCTGTTTTAGGACGAGAAGCATAACAAGTGAGTCTGTTAAGAATGCTAACTTTTATGTCTTTTATATGCGTCTTTATTTTAATTCAAGTTGCAGGTGTTTCAGTAGTTGTAGACTTACACGTCTGAAGTTTGGATATGTCGCACTTTTTAAGTAAGGTTCACTGCTGCCAGGTTTGAAAGCCTAGAGCTAGTATTTTAGCATCTTATAAGAAGCAGATCCGATGACCACAGTCTATTTTTTCATGGATAGTAGAGTGGTAATATTGCTGGCAATTACAAAAGTTACAAAAGTAACCCTCTAGTTGTTGGCTATTATCAGTATTATCAGTAAAAATCACTTATGCATGCGAGACAGCTTTTTTTTAATGATTTAGAAAGAATAAATTTCTTAAATGTAGGATACCTCTGACTGTTGTAATTATTTCAAAGCACTTTGTTTAGTAAGGTTACTCTGCTTATTATTGAGGCTTTAATCACTGAAGCAGTTACCTTAACTGCAAACTTTCTTTCTGTAAGAAAAAAAAAAACAAAAAGAGAAAGTTTCTGGTAGGTTGTTAATTTAAGAGCTAATTGTTTTTTAGCATTACAATCTTTCTTTCACTGTAAATTGTTTGATTAGGAATTTTTGGCGAGAATTGATGATTAGTTTTTGAACAATATATTTTACTATAGATTGCTAATAATTGCTTACAATGAAGGTTTACGTAAGCCACTTGAACTAGTGTAATTTGTTTTACATCAAGCGCTTATAAATGTACTGTTTTTGAAGTTTATTGAAATTTAACTCTCAAATTACATGAGGAAAATTATTTGTTTTGATAGTTTAGGTAAACAGCTGACAGTTAATGCATTAACCGCGGGATAGCAAATAGCCAAAAGTGGGATTAAAATTTCTGAAAAAATAACGAACTGTTTATCGGTTTACGAAGAAAGAGAGGAAGTATGAGATGTTAAATAAAGCCGATACAGGTATTGATATTTAATAAGCAATTTTTCATCTTTTCTTCTTTTTTCTTTTTTTTTTTACAGATGTACTACAAAACCAAATATTAGTTCTGGTTGAACAGTTAGGACGGCGTGTTTAACGGTTCTGTAAGCCGGAACTGTTTTAGTTTTGTACAGTTGGGTGTTCACACTAAGTGATCGGTGTGGTTCGGGCCAAAATATGCTGGCTCCTTGGGGACACCAATCGGTTAACATCAAAAGGTGTGCTTCCATATGATCACATTATGTTTTTCTTTCAATTTTGTTTTTTTATGATTGTCGGCATTTCACACACCATTTTGTCTGCCGTAACCTCAATTTTTGTTTTATATTGTTGTTTTTTTCCTTTCCCTACTTTTCCCTTTTTGTTTTTTGTTTTTTTCTTAAGTTGGGGAGAAATAAAATGCTAACCGCACTTAAACACTTTGACGCAATATTTTTTTTTTTCATCAATAAAATTATCAAATTTTCTTTTTTCTTCTTCTTCCTTTTTTTTTTTTTTGCTTTATTATCTGCATTAGTTGCTATTTCTTCTCTTATCGTCTTTTTATTCCAATCGTTTTTTTTTTGTTCCACTGTTATTGTTATTTAGCACTTGCATAGATTTAAGTTAGTATCAACAGCTCTTCTGATGACTTTTTACTACTTGTTTTTGTGCGGTTAGAAAAAATTGCTAGATAATTCTTTATTCGATTGCGTTCAAACGTTGACCAAAGTAGTCAATTAATAGTCAAAATAAATTTTTTTAAAAATCGACAAAAAGTTAAACATTTTATTCAGTTAAAGTTCTATAAACTGTTGCAGAGTTTAGGAAAACTTGCAATTTCTGAGCTGAAGGGAACTTTGCCTGAAAATTAGGTTAAACTGCTGCTTTGAATTTCGCAGTACAGAACTCAGGCGATCAAACTGTACCAAATAAAAGCTAACAAAAAGCCTAGCAGCTGATCAGATGATATTTTGATTGAAAAAGCAAACTTAGTTGAAAATATTGACCGGATTACAGTAGCGAGAAAAAGAAAAAAACGATAAAGGTTA